AAAATAAAATGGATTAAAACTCATAATAGTAAAAATGCTTTATCTAAAAGGACTTCATAGATATTTTACTCTTGATATAATTGCTGCTTATCCACCCCATACAGGCATGGAGCCACACAAACAACAGAAATAAAGATCAGATGTTAAGATAAATACTAAGGACAAAACCTCAGTTTGTATTAGGTGAGTAAGAAGATTGATATCTTTGTTTTTTCAGTTAACTATTTTCACAATAAATATCTTGATTGGTTTCTTTTTTGGGGGAAGCATCCACTTGAGAGTTGGCACCACAAAATAGTAGTTCATGAGAAGATATTCTTCGAGTAGAACTTACATCTAACCACTGGAATACAATGGGAATATGGGTAACTTGCTACAATGTACATAACATGGAGTCTCTTAACCATAAAGGTTAGTACTGATGGAACTAAGAAATGTAGTTCAGTTGAATACTTTCCATGGAAAAAGGCATAGAGTATTATATATTTTTTCACCTGTACAATAAGGATATGCTAGTCACATAAATAAAGGATTTGATTTGAAATTCCTAAAAAGTGACCAACAGGTAGCTGCAATATGGTCAAGAGTACAATTACTGAAATATTGTGACAATTAAAACAAAATGAGAGATGACCCCTTTCAATAAAATCAATGTGTAATAGATTTTATTCATATATTGTTTTGCTTTAGTAATGCACATGGCTTGTTTTGTTTTTACAGTATATCAATCAATGGGTTATTTAATGCCGAAAATTTTTATTGTTATATATTTTGTTTTGTTAAAAATTCATTGTTGCAAGTATTTTTCCTCAAAATGTATAGTTGGAAATATTTTTCTCCTTCAAAAATTTATTGTTGGTAATAATTTTTTTTACAAAGCATTTTTGGTATTAAACCCATTTTTACACTTTCATATGTTTTTTACCCCAGTTTCGGGGTTAATTATTTGCCCATAGCTGGGACCCTAACAGGTGCTACCACCCCAGGTCAGAGTGGACCTGGGGAACGCCAATAATTAAGAGGTGGTTCCATGCTCCTCGAAACCTCTTGATCAGACGCCTTGATGCTGGATGTAGTTTATCGTCTTACCCAGGATGGACTGCAACATGTTTTTAGAAGTTCTTCACCAATGAAAATCAGAATAAGAATTAAGGTATTTGATGGCATATAAGGTGAACTTGTTTTTACTAAAAATATCTTTTAAAATTACCCTGCGTCTTATATACCAAATGTAGGTTTAAAATTTGCAATAGTCGGTCAAAATTAGCTACCTGACATCTATTATCTTAAGCTTAAACATGAAGGAGCAATAGAACACGTGGATGGCAATGCCTCATCCCAACCTCACACTTACAGGAAGAATAAAAAGACCCAGCATTGCATAAGTCTGCGAATGGGTGAAGCAAGCTTGGGATAATATTAGACCAGAAATTGTGAAAACTTAAAAAAGTGTGGAATTAGAATGCTCTCAATGGAACGGAAGATGACACATTATTTAACGACAATGATAGTAGTATTGAAAATGAGTATCAGAGTTTTGATAACGAAGACAACAAATTTTACGAATTTGAAGATGAATAAAATTTTAATGGTAACTGTATTGTTTTAATCAATTGTAATTGCTTGATTTTTATTTTGTTTTCTTACCTTTGGATACAATTTATAGGCTTCTTTTTTCCCCTATTATTTTTTTGTTTAATTGTAATTATGGCTTTTTTAACCAAAATAATACCTCATAAATATAGTCTAGGCTGTACTATTTACTAATAATTTTACTAATTTCTAATTTTTTCTTGATTTGCCCTGCTGAAATTGCAGTGCATCTTATACACCCATGCGTCTTATATGCCGTCAAATATGGTAGTTTCCTGCAAGATATAAACACCTACACTCACATGAGCACATCTTTCATGGATGATACCTTAATCAATTAGGCCATCAAAGCTCTTAGGATTAACTAAGGGTCTTCACCAGTCATCTTACAATGGTATTCCCTGTTTCTGTCTGAATTTCTGACATAAGGATTTATTATTTACACGATTTGTTGTTACTATCACCTCTACCGATTTGATAATTCCTGTCTGAATTTCTGGGATAAGGACTTATTATTTATACTATTTACATTTGGACTATCTTTGTTGTTGTTAGTGTAAATAATGATAACTTGTCATCTCAGAAATTCAGACAGAAATTATCAAAATTGATATGAGTGATAACAACAACAAAGATAGGGATAATAGAATGTAAACAGTGTAAATAATTATTCCCAGTTATGGTGTTGAACACTAAATATTAATATTCCCAGCTTGCCAAAGTAACAGAAATTCCACAAATATAGACATCTAAGATTATACATTATCCCTGCTCTTCGTCCACCTGTATCTTCCCATTCTTTCCCTTATCCCTTCCAATCTAAATCTTATAGAAATAAGAATTATTTTCATATATGAAAAAAGTTTATGGAATATACAAATACTTTTTTCTGTATCCTCTCCCATCTTTAGCACTGCTCTCTCCATAAATTTTTTTAATATAGAGTTATTTGCAAAATTTTTTTATCCCTTCCTGTTTTTTATTCTTTTGCTTATTTTCTTGATATCCAACCAAAAGCCTTTATATAGTTAATAGATAAATGAAAGTAAATCTATAACTTATTGGAAAATTACAATAAAAAATTAAACAGACCTTGTCAGTCGGCATTAACTTATATATTTCTTTTCAACATATTTTTTTTAATATTTTTCCAACATTCTTTCTTCCTTTATATTATTATGTAAGTTTCTTGTTCAGAAAATGTAATTGGGTTCAGCTCAAGAAAACCAAGAGTCAAATACTACACTTTGATTTTAGGTACAAAAAGTCTGTCATACATACAAGTAGAATAATACTATCGATTCTTAAGATTAGAAGTTGGTTTGTTGGTTTTGTTCAGTGCTATATCAACACCTTCATAGGCTATTTAATGCCAAAATCTGAATATGAATATTCAGACTTTGAGACATTCCAAGAGAATGACATTTTATGAATAAATTATAATTACTTAGCTGCATGCTTTTTTCACCAAATAATCTTACAAAATTAAAGAATTGAAATGAGATTAATCATAATAAATTGATTTTTAAAACTTTTTTTTGACAATGTATGCCATGTCTTCAATTTTACTATAAAATGTACAGATAGTCATTTGCTACAAAAATGTATTGCTGATAATTTCACTACAAAAATGTATTTTTGATCATTTTTTTTTATTAAGTTATTTTTAACAATGTATAAGATATCTTCAAATTTAATAATAATTGAGATATTAAATTTTTAAAGAGGATTTTTTTATTAGTTAAAAACAGGCTCTTTGGAGAAAGTAAATCATCAATTTTTCTTTTTTTTTTTTTTGTAAAAGTAAAACGGTTACCCGTTTCATCAAAAATCTGCCCTGAATTGTAGAAGTGTAATAAAACTTAAAATGACATTATTTAATTAGAAAAGCTTTTAATCGCTTTTGTAAATAAGTTATATTACAGACACTATTGTCTGACACAATAAAATTTTTTTGGTGAATAATGAATTTTTACAAGAATTTTTTCATTCTTTTAAAAATTTTAATTATAATAATAATAGTTAAAAAATCATTTAAAATTCTTTATTGCTTCAAGACAGAGGTTTCATGGTATCGTTAAGTGAAAAATACATTCACAAATCAAAATTTGAAAAGCTCATAAAATTTTTCATATTTTGTTTCTGCTTTCTTTTCCAAAAATTAACAAACTTTTTGATATTTATTTATTTCTGTACTATTTCGTAAGTTGTCTCACTTTCTAGTGTTATTGTTTACTTAATGTTTTCTATATTTAAAAAAAAAAAAAAAAAAAAAAAAACGTTATTTTTTTTGAGCTTCTAAAACATGTAATGTATATAATGATGCATTATGTTCCAAAGGTTGTCATAGATTGGTGTGTTAGTAGACAAACTCATACTGTCTATGAAATACTTTCACGGTATGTGTCTCAAATAGCCTCAGACAACTAAATCCAGCTCCAAGCCAGAGAATGTGGCAGAAACCTAGTGCCTCATAACCAGTTGCTTTGGGTAGATGGAACTTGACAGCCCAGGAAGACAATCCATCTAGAAGAAGGAAAACCCTGATTTTAAACCTCTGCTGCCTTGTGGTCATATCCACACACAAAACCCACAGAGGAACCTCGGTACAGCCAAATGGTGGGGGCATGTAGTCTGTACAGCACACAGCCTCCATATACCATCGATCAGGCCTGTAACCTGGGGAGTTCACTCCAGTTTCACCACAAAAGGATTGATTTTTGACCAAGCAAGGTGCTACCTTTATCTCACATGATAAATGAAGTTCTACTACTACTAGTGGTCATTTTACTATAAAAATGTATTGCTGGTAATTTCACTACAAAAATGCATTGTTAGTATTTTTACTATGAAAACTTTCCCAGGGTTTAATTTTTGTTTGGGGGGGGTCTACTATTTATCCATAGCTGGGACCCTAAATAGTGCTACCACTCTGGGTCAGGATGGACTTGGGAACAATAGCAATTAAGAGGTGGTTTCATGCTCTTCAAAACCTCTAATATCCTAATCAGAGGCCTTGATGCTGGATGTAGGTTAGAAAGATTACAAAGCAACAAAATTAAATGAAGGAAAACTAATTAAAATATTCTTTAATCATAATGTAATTCTCAAAAAAAAAATAACAGTATTACTATTACTAGTTTGTCAACAATACAGCATGAAATGGAGTTATATAAAAAAAGAAAAAAAATGGACAATACATCTGAGAACTGTGTCTAATAATAGCTTGAGTTGCTTAACTGATCAATGCAACATACATGACAATCTTTCAACATAAAGAATGAGAGTTGGTTGAGCCCAAAGCTACTTTATTCTGAATTCCTATGACCAAAGAATTGGCTCAAAAAGGAGAGACAGAATATATATATATATATATATATTAGATGGAGGGAGAGAGGGAGGAAGACAGAGGGGGAGGAAGGGGGAGACAAAAGGAGAGGGAGAGAGGGAAGGAGGAGAGGAGAGAGGAAGGAGGGAGGAGAGGGAGAGAGGGAAGGGGAGAGAGAGGGAGGGAAGGAGAGAGAGAGGGAGGAAGGGAGAGAGAGAGAGGGAGGAAGGGAGAGAGAGAGAGGAGGGCGGAGAGAGAGAGGAGGGGAAGGACAGAGAGAGGGAGGGAAGGGGAGAGAGAGGGGGGAGGAAGGAGAGAGAGGGAGGAAGGGAGAGAGAGAGAGAGAGGGAGGGGAGAGAGAGAGAGAGGAGAGGAAGAGAGGAATGAGAGAGAGAGAGAACGAGATGTTTAGTTTTATTAACATTTTCTTCTTTTTCAAACAATCAAATCTTTAGCAATAAAGTGAAAGTAAACTGTCAAAATTAATTTAACATGCAGCAAGCAAAAAGGAAGTAATAAAATATACAAGTATCTGTTTCAAAACAAACAGACAGAATATAAAAACAGAGGTCCAGCCCGAAAGAAGTGAGGTATAATAATAAACCTGGTTACAGTGGACATCTTTTGTTAAACATGACAGTTATGTAACAGTGACTTTACACCAAGCAACATCAATTAAACCTGCCAGTCATGCAACAAAAACATTACACCGGGCAATATCAGTTAATCCTGCAAGGCTTACAAAGGAGACAGGTCACTGAGCGACACCAGTTTACCCTGCCAGTTTTACAAAGGACCAGCAAACAGATGGGAGTATCTGAATGTGTACAAAGTATACAATATAAATGTGAATGACAGTAGGTATACATATATTATTTGCGCTAACATGTACTCCGCAAGATTACTCATTAAGTGGAAACAAAGGCTAATGTTTTACAAATAACAAATTTCAGACAGTAATTGTATCGACAGTTTTTATTATTATAAATTTTTTATCAAATGTGGAAATAGAATAATTATTGATTATTCCAATGATAGAAGTTACTATGGACATGTAAACAAACACTAATACATTTGGGAAGACATAATGAAACAAGATACCAAAAGTTGTTTGGTTGACTGAACATTTTGCTGTAAAATTTCAATTGAAACCCTCCACCCCAAGCCACTCAAAAGAATATATGAAAGCCACTGTCAGAGTTAGAATATAAGTATTTAGTATGTTAGGTGATTTTCTAAGTGCAACTTAGATATGGCACAAGGCCAAAAACACGGGGCACCCAGTAAGGATTGAACTCACTACTCAGTTGTAATTGCTCTAGTGAGATGAGCTTGCTAACCATTACACCATGTCAAGGTACCCATGTTAGGCTGTATGTGAAAGAAGAGACCACACCAATATGGAATATGATCCAAGATAGGAATCATCAGTACAGAGTCAGAAAATTGAAGCAAGCTATACAGTTAGATGTACAAGATAAGCCATGGTGTATTTTACTGCCTAACCAAGAAAGAATTGGAGAGCATCAAAGTATATTAAAAATTATAGAATAATCTGTATTACACAGGCTACTGTGAATGGGTTGGTCTGATCAATATAGAATAGCTTGCATTACATACATGACCATGAATAGGTTAGTTTGACCAGTATATATGCTACCATATAACCTGTGCTAACTTCCTTTTTGAGGCACATGTGTTGGGTTATATGTATTTAAGTGTTTAGAAAGAGAAAGAAAACTCTACTCTCCAAGGCCCGACATATGCATTAGTATATCTGTGATATACTAACACCTTGATGAGACAAAAGGATGGGCAAAAAGACAGAGAAATGAACGAAAACATTTTATATGCTAAACATACAGTATACGCAAGTTAATGTCATTGTAACAAAAATATTCAGACAGTGATCATAAAAATTATTGGCACAGTTCAATAAAAAGTAGATTTTGTGTATAATTAAATTTTAACATGGTAAATAAAAAGTCAACATTTTGATAAATTTACTCCAAATGCATTGGTACCCACAAATTTCTGAAGATTATTTAATACATATATACCATCATTGACAAAGGTTTTGATGAACCATGTATAGAGTGTGATGGATAAATTGCCATCTAAATTACACAATAATGAAATTAACACCGACATCTCATTTTCACTGATATATTTACCAAAATTAGACAAAAATATCTTGAAATACTAAAGAGTAAATTTAATTAATAAAATTGACATTGGCTTTATCCATGGCCTCCAGATGACTTTGGAATCTAACAACAACAAATTTTTTTTTTTTTTTTTTTTTAAATTGGTTTCACCCCAAGAAAGGCAGTAAAACCACTAAGACACAAATGGTTACTGGGTGTGGAAGAATTAGAAACAGAAACATTAACAATGAGCAGGAAAGTGAAGAGAGTAATCAGGACTGTAGATAGCGATTGACATTACATTTAAATTTTTGCAGATTAACGTTGTCTGAAAAGCATGGAGCAGGAAGGCAGTTCAACAAGCAAGAGGTGCAAAAAATGAAACTTAGCATAGAACTTATGACTACATCTAGCCAGATCAAACTTAAATTGTTGAGATCTTGACACCAGTATAGTACTATGCTTAAATTAAAAAAGTCTAGGTACAATTAGAATGAAAGTATTCAGAGGCAACCTTACAATGGTGGGAAAGTGACTGAAGCTGAGTCACCACCACAGGATCAATAATATTGCTGATTCTTCTTTAGATTTCATCAAGGAGCTCAAGGTAAATAACAGGGGTACGAGGCCAACTGAATGCAAGTAGTATTTAAAAAGGACAAATAAAAAGGAAGGACATGCAACCCCAAGCTAAAGGTGCAGAGTCTGGAACAGTGGGGGAACTGAAAGTCTATTGTTGTAATCAATGCTGACGATGCCCTGTGGCATTAATCTCTGGCAGCAGTGAGCTTCTGCTGTCGAGCATCCTCGACAGTGATAGCAGCAACATGAGTTGCATAATGGATATGTGCATAGGGATTTCATAATGAGAAGACTGTTGCATGGGAACAATCCCACTCTCTCGGTCTGGGAAGTTTTGATCCAGTGGCACAGGGGGCCGTTATGACAGAAGACTACCAGGCTGCAGTGGATGACCAGGACTTCTTTAAGTGTCATTTCCATGCTCTAGGGCACTCCACAACACTGCTTTCACAATCGTTGGATCCACAGGTGATCTCTTCTGCTTGTTCTGCCAGGAGTCAGTCTTCGCATGCCTAACTCACCGGGAGTTTCAGGCATGTCGGTTACCCTCACCTGCTTTGGCCAGCCTGCCAAAGCCATTGCCCAGGAGTGGCCGCTGTTGCATGCAACAGCTTCTAGGAGCCACAGGTGAAAGCTGGGTGGCAGGTAAGAACCAGTGGCAGATGAGCTGCTCTGAAAATGACATGGTGAATTCCCATGCTAAAGGGTACTACCTCTCCCTGACATCCCATAACAATCAATAAACAAAAAAAAAAAAACATCAAAATAAGAAGTAAAGGTAAAGTGTATTTATAATCTTTATTTATTTTAATAATTTCCCCTCCAGGCAAGGTGACAATGCCACAAAGATGCAAGGGGATACTGAGGGGGAAAGAAATGAGAGGACATCAATGAAGAGAAAGGACAATAAAAGAACAGGAATTATGGAGACAGAAGATGACAATTTACAATGCATTTAAATTTCTGAAGATTATTGGTAGCAGGGAAGCAAGAAACTGAAAGAGAAAATACCATAGGAGAGTAATGAAAGAAAAGAAATTATTAGAATAGAATTTACGGTCATATCTAACTATTTCAACAGTAAAATGAAAAGATCTAGTTGCCAATCTAGTAGTACACTTAATTTCATGAAGTCGAAAGATCATTAGAAGAACTACCCTGAAGATATTTGTTAAAAAAAATAAAAAATAAAAAAATTAAAAAAAAGACAGGGAAGCCAGGTCACAGTAGTGAGAAAGTAATTGGCGCCAAGATGCCATGTCAAGACTAATAAAATTACAAACCCTTTGGTTTTTGTCTAGAATCTCAAGATATATAGCAGGAGAACAAGACCAGATATTACAGTAATATTCAAGCCATGGACAAGTGGCAGATTTATAAACATGCAAAATGGATTCTGTCACGAAAAAGTGGCACAAAACAGCAAACCAACTTTCTTAGCAGCAGACATTGCAACTGATTCATTATAATTCTTCCACTGCATGTCAGTGAAAAGCAGGAGACCAAGATGCTCTTGGAGGTTAGCATTGGCCAGGCTGATGGAAGGTAAAAATGGTTCTCTACAATGACTGAAAGATAGCAGTTTAATTTTGGAGGTATTAAAATTTACAAGCCATTTCTTGCCCCAGTTAACAACTGATTGGAGGTCATTTTTGGCATCAGCTGCCAGTTTTACTTTATCAGGTCTAGTGGAGTTACTATTAAAACAATAATAAATAGTTGCATCATCAGCATAGTTAGTTGGGAACTGATGACATCAGGACATTCATGTGAAAGGATTTAGGTCTTTTAACACAACTTTCATTACATGATTTGTTAAGAAAGATTAAATCAAGTCAAATATTTGACCAGATACACTATAGCCCTTCAGCTTGTGAAGAAGGCCAGCATGCCAAATCCTGTCTACGTCTTTGAGATATCTAAAGCCACAGCCCAAGCCATGGCATTCTTATCTAAAGCTTGACAGACAAATTCAACAATAACCGTTAACACATCGGCAGTTGACCTAGACAAGTGAAAGTCATTATCTGAAAGAAGGCTGTGTAAAGTGAGATGTTTAGTCAATTCAAAGTTGATTATAGTCTCTAGCCCTTTGCAAAAAAAAAAAAAAAAAAAAAAAAAAAAAAAGGTAAATAAAAGACTTAGTGGGTGATAATTCAAAGAATCAGAAGGTTCAACAGAGTTCTTAAATTCTTAAAGACAGAAACTATAGAAGATTTCCAACAAGCTGGATAGCAAAGAGCAGCAAGATATTCATTATAGAGTTTGGAGAGAACAGAAGCCAGTTCAGGAGCAGATTTCCTTAGAATAATTGCAGGGATACTGTCAAGTTCACATGCCATGCCATGAATATGTTCAATAAAAGTGACTCACCTGATTTTTTTTTACTAAATGTTCTCTTCTCCGATGAAACGAAAGTTGAGCTAAATTCAAAGGATAAGCGATCTAAAACCCGAAGAAGCTTTGAAAGCTCTTTGAATTTAGCAGTAAGTACTGTCAAGCATCCGTTCAGTATAATGTTCTGGGGATGCTTTTCTTTTCATGGAACTAGTTTCTTAAAACCTATTGAAAAGACCCTCAGGAGAGAGCAGTACAAGAGAATTTTAGAGTCTTGTCTGCTCCCTTCTGCTGAAAGGGTGCAAATCGACCCCACCAAGTTCATTTTTATGCAGGATAATGCTCCCTGTCACAAATC